GAATTGAATGCCCTTCAAAATGATGTGCCACTTGACCCCCCTTTCCATTTGAAATTCTGAGGGTAACATCCACCCCTCCTAGGGGGTTGAACCCCGAGGGTTGAAAATATTCATTCAGAGTGTCCCCCTTGCAAATAAAGTTGACCTGTCTGACCATTTTTTCATATTATGTACTGGAAGGGAGATATTGAGGGTGGGAAGTTTTCAAATTGACACACTGTATCTGCTCATTTGAGGATACAAATAAGTGAATTGTACCTTCTCATGAAAATCATCGGATACGAATTCCTTTGTCACATCTTTTACCTAATACAATTGTAAGTAAAATTGATAACTTTTTTTATGTAACTATGCACTAGATTATTTTTTTAAGTTTTTTCAATTTTCAGTGTTGCAATGCTTAAAATTATGGAACTATGTAGTAATGCAGTAAGTTATGAAAGATTATTAAAAAAATTGAGTTATCATAAAATCAACGTAATCACAACTACTTACATTTTCCCCACTGATGATGTTTCGCTGACAAATAGAAATATTATGGGTGCATTTATTTTCATAAACACACCAGTTGCACGCCCATTTAGATCTCACACACTCTCCACATGTCGTATGTTTTGCACAATCATAGTATGCGAAATTTCTGGAAACAAAGTCTTTATTTGTTTCAGAAGATCTAACACTTAGAGGGACCAAAACGTGATCCATTTTCGGAGGTATTCGTGGACGTCTAGATATTTCTGGAGTGAAACAAGATAGACCGCTTTCAGTCATTTCGGCATCAATAGGTTCAGCATTTCCAAAAACACATTTATACTTGGCCCCTGGTGGAAGAGCGGGAAGAGTTCTTATAGTCAAACGAACATTCGTCATTTGATTAATAGGAATACGTTCCGGTAAAACTTGTTCGAAGTCAATGCATTGTTGGCCAGTTCCAAGAGAAAGCCATCGAGGTGCGCTGTGGGAAGCTTTTTGGCAGGCACTGCGAACCGTACACCTGAAATACATGGAAACCTCTGAGTAACAAGGTTTCATTTTGGGGCCATTACTATTCTTGATACATATCAATGTAGATAATACTACATTACTATGTGATGAAGATAACAAAGAGAGAGATTTGCACATGAACATTTCCTATGATCTTGCGCAAAACTAATAGAATATCTAATCCATGTTTACACTTGAATACTTCATTATTTACAATAGTTTTCTCATTGTTTCATTATACAACACCTTTGAAAGGGGAAAAGATTCATTAAAAATGTTAATGAAGTTGCAAATGAAAGAATTCCACTGCAAGTCAACTAATATGTTATAGCTGTACGCTTCAATTCATTTTGGTTCCTATTACTTGAATCAGTTTTATTCTGTTAGCTGAAAAATCTGAGATAGGTGGTGTTTGTTAACTATTTTCATTAGATTGACTGTAAAAATTATAGTTCATGCATTGTGATTTGAGATATGAGCTTCGACGACTTTCATTTTATAATTATTGAAGATTGTAAAAATATTATCAATGCCACTTTCTCTAAAGCATATTATTCTAGTTTGCTCCAACCAAATGAACAAATGGATTATGCTACTTGAAAACTGTTCTGTTCTGCTCTTGATGATATTCATAGAAGCACACTAATAAAATTACTTTCGAGAAATTTCAATAGCTGTATACTGAAACGCATCACCCACCAACATTTCATTTTTCTTTTTCATTTGTTTTTTTTTTTGACAGTATACTGATGCACCTCCATGTTTGCCGAGGCATTAACAAAACCATGATGTCAATTCAAAATTCCTAACTTTCAATATTTTCAGTTGATATTTAGTTTTCAATATTCGGTTATGCATAACTGATTCTGATCAAAGCAATGTTATAGTGTACCTCAATACACCCGTACCTTAACTTTGACTTGCTGCTGTTATAGCAATCATCACTCTCTAACTTCTACACGTGAGAAGAACCTAAAATCATATTCCCAACTTGTGTATTGGCTTGAGAGCGGTTTTTATTTTTATATTACCTTCCCTACCGAGCAATACTTTCAGACCAGCAATTCAATGATAAACTGTGAAAGTTTTATCATATTCGTAGTGATCGGAATGGCACACGTTTCGTCTCTTTAATGTATAGACTCGTCAGGGCGCCGACTTGTGACTTTTAGACTTAGAGCTAGGAGATTTTTATTGATAGAGAGAATGTAAATTCTCGCCTACTGTAGTCTTAGCAAGCAACAAGAATACATTTTTTTGTTGATGAAATTCTCCACAGAATACTGAAATGTACATATGACACTAACTTTCTGCTAGTGGTGTCTATTCAATCACTTTATGAAATGGGATGTTTACTTTAAAATAAGTGATAAAAGCATCCTGATTCTTATAAGTTATCCCGTTTAGTTATTTCTCCTCCAAGGTATTTGTTAAAAAGTTTGAATTGCCCTGCATCTATCAACATATAAATCATCCATAGAGATAGAGAAGTTATAAAAGTTAGTTTTGACGAAACTAAGTTGTGATAAAACATACACATTATACAATGTTCGAGTAGCTTTTAGAAAAGGAGTTTTGTCAACGAAAAACCTTGTAAAGTGAGTTGGCTAAGTATTCAATGTGATAATTTATCACATTCGCCCTACTTATCAACAAAAGAATGATTATGACCTATCGTGATTGTATATAATACTTGAGAAAATGATGATATACTTTTGATCAATAACTTGAAATAATACTCACTTTTTCTCCAAGGAACACCACCCACAATAAGGATCTTTTGAGTCCAGACACGAAGAGCAGTTAGTGTACGTGCTACAATGCTCTACATTAATTTTTGAAACCTGAAAGAATATTTTTTATTCACATTCTATCATAAAACTTTTTGAAATGATATAATAACATGACAATTTTCATTTATAGGAAAAATCTAAATATCAGAATCAGATAACTGATCGAAATCAAGTAAATAAATATTTGAATGTGAATTAGGATATAAATCAATATTTTATTACTCAGGCACAAGTATTGAAATATTTACAAAAACAACTATTTTGCACGAAAATGCAATAATAGAAATGAACAATTCTATAATATTATTGATTTTAGCACCTATGGGGGCGAAGCCTCAATAATATCCCTATTATTATTTGGTTGGCCATCCCAAGATGACTGCACGAAAACAATTCTTGAAACAGTGTAAGAACAAAGTAATTTCCAAATATATTAACTTTTTTTGTATCGAATGCTTTGTTTTTTAATGATGGTACACCCATTTTACAAATTTACATTATCAGTTTTGTTGAAAGATGAACAAATTGTTGATTTTCAGAATACAACATTTACTAAGCGAATTTTCTAAATATTTTTAAATATGTTTAAAAGTGGTGCAATTATAAAAGATCACCATGTATAAAAAAACTTAGAGGGTGCTTCACGAAAATTCTTGTTATTTACTAATTATTTCCATTGAGTATGGGTATTTCTTTCTCGATGCAGATAGAATCACCTTGCATTCACATGATTGGCAATTGGTTAAAAACATATATGAGTGAAACTTGAAATAAGATTGAAAAAAAATGCTTTAAATTTTATCATACCATGCCAAAGTTCATGATCTGGTTTTTCGACTAAAAAAATGATCAGTTGTATAGAGAAGAAGGGATTATTATAAAAATTTAATTTCCCATGTAATCGTTTTTTTAAAGTTCTATGTAATTAGTTCACCTGGATGTTTATATTTTACAAATAATGATGGATCTCATCAGTCACATTTTGTATGATGAAGCATGATTTTTCCAAAAAATGCATCTAATGCACCGAGTTCGCAGCTGTATAGATTGTATAAAATTACTTGATACTTGAAAATTGACAAGTTTGCATTGGGGTTAGCCTCAGTCGGGAGATCCCGCCTGTCATTGGTTTCTATTGAAGTAACACATTTCTCTATCTTTGCAAAGCAAAGTCATATCTACTGATGACATTTGCCACCTCGTCGATTCTTCGAACAATAATAATATAATATTTCATTTATTAGAAACTAACTTTTTTTTTCAGTTCCACTGGAAAAAGTTAGTGCAGAATACGAGCAGAATATTTTCATTTACATTTACATCAAAATAATGATAGTTTTCTTACCTTGGATGTGGATAGCACGTAAAGGTAATCACCAGATGGCGATAAAGTCGTATCTGGCAAAATTGGATTACCTTCATCAACGACCACTTCCTCATATTCTGGAGGTTCTGGACCAGAAAGTAGAACTTTCTTTATTTTCCCGTCAGAAGTGCCAAGGAATGCCATAACATGTCTTCCTGTCGATGCAGTTGCCACAGCAGATAGCGAAACATTCGGAAAAGCTAACGCTGCCGTAGTTACCAAAGGTGTAACTCCACTTATTTTGAGACCAACTTCACAGAAGTTAGGAATATTTCCAGCAGACCCACTGCTGGGACATTTGCCATCTAAAATAGGTCCTGACACATATCCCATGTTACGATACTTTACGCTGCCATTAAAACACATATGTATGTTTTCTATAAATTTACCCTCGATGTCTCTTAACGGATACAGACACAATGCAGATTGGTTTTGAGGTTCATTAGTTATTCCCTTGGAAGGTCTGAAAATAGCTACCAACACAGGAGATCCTATCGTTATTCCTAAGGCAGTTGCCAATTCTTCTCTAGCCAGTGTTATCTTGGCATCTTGCACCAAATTATATTTTGTTTCAGCATCTACACATTGCAACGTTACTTCAGTGTAGCTGTCGTAGTTAGCATCATTTATGCAAGTTCTTGATAAACGAGAAACATATCCCTGTTCCTCTTGGCCAGGTAAATGTGATTGCTTCTGAACAATAACAAAATATGCATATTCACTAGCATTAAAACCGTATACATACTGTACAATGAAATGGTCTCGATATTTAACATCAATATTCAACTGGGATTGTTTACTAAAAGTTAACTCGGCGATTTCTAATGTTTCCAAATCCCGACTTGCTATTGCTGGCACGTCATGACGAAACTCCCCATTATTGGTAAAGGTGGTCCCTACGTAAAGAATATTCGAACGACTCCAGAGGTTATAGTTTTTGGGGCCTATGTAGGCATAGGTCGAAGCATTAGCATCGTTTGCTGCTATACTTTTTGGAATGTACTGCGGTTCAGCACTGAAATTGTTCAGTCTGTATTTGAAACAAGCACCCTGAGATACGGATCCACAAGATATTAACGTTCCCGAATCCGGCTCAATGAGTAGTATTTTATTATAGTTATCCATCAATGTCAATGTTATGCCTGCATCATTACATCCGGTCGCATGGCACAAAGGGCTGTCGTTTTTTGGGCCTGTAGTTACTAGATGCTCCAACCTTAGGTTACTGTCGAGCTGCAAGAGGCGATTTGTGCCCCCCACGAAGACCCTCTGAGTTTTGTGATCGATGACCATGTGCCAAAAACGCATCGGGGGTTCGTCGGGGCCTGGGTACTGCGCCAGCAGGATGCCTGCAGAAGCGCGCCCCCACAGCCCCGCCAGTAGCAGCAGCCAAATGCCTGCCACGGTGCTGCCCACCGTTCCAACATGAACAGCTTTTATTACCATGAAGACTCCCAGTGCATGCTATTAACGTTGGAGAAGGCGTGCACCACTTCACTTCTCCAGATCCACATCACTGAAAAAAAAAGAGAAATTATTAGGTATTATATTTCAGAATTTACTTTTTTATATTACAGCTACAATCAATTGGTAAGTGACAAATAATGTAAACTTACGACTACACGATATTCCTACAATAATAATAATACTTTCTTTCCGAAGATGTCAAGAACATAATATCTCCAGAGATATCAACCTTGCTGGACTTGCAATCAATACAGCCGTGAAAATTATTCTCAAAACAAATAAATCAGTTCTTGGAATAAAAGTTTATTCAGGAGATAATAATTTTTTTTGTAAAAAAAACCTCTTTGGCTTTCAACTTTTCCGTTAAAATATAGAGCGGGAAACTTTGAAAGGAACGAAGAAAAAGAAAAGAAAAAGTAAATTTCAAAGATACTTGTGATGCACTGTTTGGAACTTTTTGTGTAGTAACGAATATTACTGGAGTTGTAGCCCAACACCAAACCGTTTTTTGTTACACCTCGTTACGTGTTTTGATCACCAAGTGATCATCATCAAGAGGAAAATTAAACTAAATGGTAAACATCGATAAGTGTCATTACGTTCGCTAAAATTAGAAGTCCAATTATTTGAATATAAACTGAATAATATGCATAATAAAAGAGAAAAATTTATTCGCGATCTGGAAGTTAAATTTGATAGCGAAATTAATTTTAATCTTCAAGTATCGGAAATTGAGGCTAAAAGTCTCAAAATGCAAGGTTCTGTGTTCAGAATTTCTACTGATTTTTCAATTAAAACAAAAAAGATTTTATATTGTGCTTTTGTAAGATCCCTGCTTGAATATTGTTCGGTTATCTGGGACCCATACTCTAATGTAAATATCGATTTGATTGAGAATGTTCAAAAGAAATTCTTAAGGAATTCTGCTTTTCACTTTGGTATTCAACGAATGAGTACAGTCAACTCTCAATCAAGTTAAATGTAAAATCATTGGAATATAGAAATTCTGTGATTTTGAGTTTCCTCTTCAAAGCAATAAATAGTGAGATAACTGCCCAGAACTACTTCAACTAATAACTTTCCATATCAATAAAAAAGATACGAGAAATCCTGACATTTTTCATATAAATTTTGCCCAAGCCAATTATGCTTTGAACAGTCTGATTCCTAGTATTCTGAAGCTGGGAAATCAATATCATAACTTAAATCTGTTTAATGTGTCACTTCAGGTTTTTGAAAATCAATCGGAAAGGCTATATCGTTTCCGAAGCTTTTCTTTACCTTACCATTTTCTTTGTAAGTACCAGATTTGTTTTATTTTGTTAGTAATGGTGTCACTAGACATAAGGATTCATTATTATTTCACACTTCGCTAAATGTTTTGTAAAATTGTAATGAAGACGTTAGACATGAGCATTCAAAAATATTTTGTAGTTCTCCACACTTTACTAAATATGTTTTTGTAAATTGGCTTTGCCTTATTTATACGTTTGCGTCTTAAGTGGTTTTAAATTAGTTTCCATATGTTGCCTTATCTATTTAAATTAATTTTACAATGTGTCCTTATATAATAGTCAGGTAAATCTGATAATTAAAATATTATTTCAACAAGCTATATAATATACTATTAGGTATTATTAGGTATTGGTCCTCCATCGTTATTCATAATATTATTATGTTTACTTATTTCTACACTCTCGTAGGCATCTAGATGTCTGTTGTTGTTACTTGTCCAACTAATCTTGCACACATGTTCAAAAAAATCAAGCAAAAAAACCTCTTATATATCTAGCTATACTCGCTATCGCTATGGATAATTACTTTGTTGTGTGCCGAGCTGAACACAATAAAATTCTATTATTTTTTAATTCGAAGAACTTCGAAAAGACTTACATCATGATTCGAGTGAGCTAGTTCAAATGGATTTTTTTTTATTCAGCTTTCATCTTGTCTAATTCTCATATACACACTCTTATTTTTTAGATTATGGAAGGCGAAAATCCTTGAAAATGTCGATAAAAAGCTCTGATTTCCTCCACAAAAAATGACTTTTTTCGAATAATAAAATTATATTTGGAGTTTATCGGAATTGTATTACAAGTATTTTTCGCTGAAGTGACACCATCGCACTAAGTACCACACAAACTAACTACGTCACTGGTATGTAATCTTGTTATATCAAAATAAAAGAAAGTACGTTAGACCGCTCAGCACTCACATCAAACTTCAGATTAGTGGCAAGTATACAAAATTTTGTATATGCGGACTTAAAAAGTCCGCTCCTTTCAACGTTTGAACGAGACAAGATATCAAAGTCAGACAAAGTTAATGTAAAAATGAATATAGTTTAAAAAACTAACAAACACGCTTTTAAAGAACATCGAACTAAAAAGTTAAAAATATTTTTTAAATAAGCT